TTTGCGAACAAAATTACATCCATTGATGTAATATTGTACCTGCTTTTTGCTATTACATCATTATTTCATACATCAGCTTGAATTACGTTGATCGATATTACATTTTTTTTTGCTGTGTAGTCTTAGAATTACCTCTATGGTAGTACCATAGAGGTAACTCTAAGACCACTGGGTCCCGAAGAAAATCATTATTATTTTTGGCTCACTCAGTACCAGAACAACGGTCCCAAGCAGTCCCAAGCTATTTCACTCACCCCTGCATGTTCTGCATGAATCCACACACCCCTGATGTTATCTGTCAAACTTTCATAGCGAATCAAAACAAACATAGTGTAGTAATAGAATTTCAACTAGAATAGGGCACGTTAATCGTTTGCTTGGGACCAATAGGCTACTAAAGTGGTGAGCCAATTTAAAATCGTTAGTTTCGTATTGATTGTTGGTAGTACCACAAACGAAGTGACAGACGGAGCGGCTCGAAAACTTTCGTGACTAACCTGCTATTTCAATTTTTCAGTGTACCACATGGCAACACCACTACTACACAGCAAAAAAAGTTGTTGAATATTACATCAAAACTGATGCAACCAGGTCAATCCATCGGTTGTGTAATATCACATTGTACGATGTACATCGATTTTGCGAACAAAATTACATCCATTGATGTAATATTGTATCTGCTTTTTGCTATTACATCATTATTTCATACATCAGCTTGAATTACGTTGATCGATATTACATTTTTTTTTGCTGTGTACTGGGTTGTACCACATGGCAACACTACTACCAACAATCAATACGAAACTCTGTATTCAACAATAAAATATTTGACGTCTTTTTATTATTTACAACTGAAACCGGGCTACTTGGAAGTGTGATAATGCAAATAAAAGTGCACAATTAGTTGGTATTGTCTTGGTGTCTGCAACGCATTTAAAACTGGATTTAAATGCATCGAAGACACCAAGGCGATTCAAACTAATCGCGCACTTTTATTTGCTTTATTGCGCAATAAAATTCTAAAATAATTTCAAAATACGTTTGTTTTAAAAAAATGGTGCGTTTAAAATAAACATAACGATGTAGCTAACAAACATAAATCGCATGTTTAAAATAAACATATTTATGTTTGTTAACAAAGCTGTCAAATCAATCAAAAATAATACGTTTATTTTCAATACGAATATTTTTAAAATAAACGTAACATTATTTTTATTTTAAACCTTGATGTCACATGACTTCAAACATGGAATACGTTTGAAATCAACCGAGTTTATTTTTGTGGCCAGAACAAACTGAATTTACGTTTAAATTTACCTCAAATATTTTTGCTTCGATGATATATTTCTCTGCGTGCATATGGTGGACATCATACCGACCAAAAAAGGCGGAATCATATTAGAACCAACCAACCAAGGACGCTCTACGGAAGGAAATTGCCGGTGAAGCACGGAATGAAATACGAAGCGTTAGTGAAAAAGCCCAAGGGATTCCAAAGGAAGCAATTAACGGTGGCGGAAGAGCGGAATATGGTGAGAGCTGTCCAAATTTTTGTTTACAAATTAAATATCAAAATTAAACTAAATACATGCCAGGGTTGAAAAGAATAATTTCGAACCTGGAAGTGTGTATGTATCACCAATATCAAAGATATCTAATTAACAAGATATCCCACTAATCAATTCCTCATACAAGGCATATAATTACCACCCGTATGTGATCGCAGTGCCATCTGTTGAGTGCACATTGAAACTGTTGGGAGTTCCCCGCCAACTTCACCACCTGGGCTCAATAACTGACCGCATGATAGATGTCAATGCGGACGTTGATGATCAGCCGAGGAAAGAGGACGATATCATCCTCGAAGTCATCATCATTATATTGCGATAGCAAGATTCTTACTTGTTTGTGATTGGTCCGATTTTTAATCATTACCACTTTATACGCAACAGAAACACTTGAGAAAACAATCACACATCCAAGCGCGCATCATGATGTGCTTGTAATATGTGTTGCTTTCTAGCGAAAGAGTTTCCAATATACCACCGGTATCAGTAAGATGCAAATCTCTAATAGTAATTGATGATTTGCGGAGCTGGTACTCAAAAGAATCTTAATAAGCATAGAAGTAAACATGGAAAAAGCATTAACTCTCTCTAAAGAATTATTCCAACACCCCAGTCACTGGAAATGCAACGTATCGAAATCATTGCTAAACGTAATAAAATATTCCACCTTCTTTGGCCAACACAGCAGGCATTCTATTCAAAAATTACATTGGATTAATCATTACTTTCCTATTTTATAACGTAGGAAGTATTTGTCAACGCCGGTGAATGCAAACGCAAACGGAAGTAGCCGAAGCTGAAAGACGATGAGTGATGACACCGCTTCGTGTTTTGATTTGCGCTGTACCGTCCGCATAGTTGTGTGGGTTCGTACATGTATAGATGTTGGTGTGCGTGTTTTCTTCCAACGCAGTAGTTCAACGTTGTCTCGTCAAAATCTTTTGGCGCTGTTATCTGTCTCTCAAAAATCCAAAGAGTGAAGGGGGTCTGCCAATATCTATTTGATAACGGTTATTCATACATGCGGGGCTTATTCTGAGTGAAAGTAACCTCGGAATGGGCGTTACTCTCCAGACATTCTGAAATGGGCTGCTGGATCTGCAATAGAGCCACTGACAAACCGACATGAAACTTAAACTTAACTCAACTCTTGATCGAGAATCCATAACGGCCGATTCAAATGTGCATACTAAAATTTCAGATTTTTGATTTACCCCTATATTTTCCCGTAAGACGTAGTTTATGTCAAAACACACAAATATTTAACAACTATATTATTAAGGGGTTACGCCTACCTGCAAACTTTCAAAAAATCGATTTTTTTTTATTGTCCTAATCGAAAGTATATAAAGTCAAGAATATTTCCTCAAAAGATCAAGTTGATCCGATGAAAATTGTGAAAGTTATGCGACGTACAAAAATATTCACTTATAGTGGACTAAACCCAACTTGAAACTTTAAACGCGATTATCTCGGAATCATATTTTCAAAACCGGTGCCAAAAAGTTTAACACATGCTTAACGATTTCGCATGGTTTTTTTTTTTAATTTCAGATGATTACATCACAAACCGCAGTTGGCACCGCAAAAAGCGTTTTTTCGAACATCGTCAACGGGGAGCAGCCGTGCGGGGCACCAGGACCTCGTTTTTACAGCATCGACTGATAAATGTACCATTTAATGTGTGTTCAATAAACGGCAGAAAACCGATTTTCAATATGTTGCGTCGTTTTCGAGAAGAAAAAATCCAAACTTTCGCTTTTTGTTCGGTCTTGCAGGTAGGCGTAACCCCTTAAGGAAAAACAATTTTATTAGCGATGTGAACATGATTTTGCTCTAAAGTGAGCGATGAGCTTGATGGAGCAACCAACTTGCATATCTTTTTGTTGGAAAGTTGGAAACGTTTTCCATTAACAAAAAATAAATAAAATGTAGGGTTAACTACCCCATTTCCGGCCTATTAAGCTCAACCCGCACTTGGTCTTTCTTAATCGAGCGCAGTTTAACACCAATCGGAATGTTATTATTACTGATGGCTTCCAAATTTATTTACCTTTCCGTACGTCTCGTTAGATTTGATAAAGAGAAACCAATCGTTGAGATATTGTCAAAAGTCTAACACTGCTTCTTGACGCTAAACTCGGCCTACGGATTCTAAACTCGGCCTAACGCATTGAAACGCCAATGAATTCACATCGGCCTATCGGATGAAGATAAAAATTGATTCAATCGGAGCGCTTCTTTTGTTTTTGGGAATAATGGGTGCAAACCTTCATATCACGCGTTCTCATTGACTTCGTTCCGTAGCTTATTAACTAAAGAATCGTACCAATCGCATAATTGACTTTTTAACTCTGAAATCATGGATTTATTTGAAGTTTTCTGCTCGATAGGCCGAAGTAGTTCTCTACCCTACGCCACAAAAAAATGTAAAAGGTGTCTGGAACAAATAATTAAAAAGAAATCAATCTAGCAGCGCCGGTTGTGTGTGGAAGCGTGATTGCCTCAAATGACATAGCTTCGGCATCGTCGGGATTTTCTGAGACATAAAATATCTGCTCACGCCTTCCTTCGGAAAGGAAGTAAAGCTGTTGGTCCCCGTTCCATGAGTGGATGAGTTGATAGGTAGAGGGTTCAGGTGTAGGAGTTGCCTTTCTTGCGTCGGTAGCATTGGTACTCAATGAGGAAAACAAATCAAAGAAAATAAATAAATGTATAAACAGTTCATTAAAAAAAGATTTTCAGGAATCACTCTGTTATTTATTAAAAACAAGCATAAATCTTGAACCATTAGAGATGGAAAATTGCTTATTTAGTCTAAGTTGCTTGACATGAATTATGTAATTCGAATTGTTTTTATGTAACTTCATACGCGAAGTTGGCGATTTTCAGTGTTGGTTGGAAATGCTGTCTGACATGATGCTTTAGTGTGATAATTTATTAGCTAGAGAATGGTCTTAGAAGAGGGTAGGTAGATAGTTCCGTTAGAGTACGACAGTATGAAAATTTAATAGAAGTTGAAAATAAGCGAAGGGCCATTAATGTGACAGTGCAAGTCAAACGCACACTCTTTGCCAAAGCCCTTTATTGAACCCAATTAAGGGGCATCTACCCTATTTCCATCATACTTATAACACTTCTTTTTTTAAATGAAAAATATGTTTCGAGCGCAAAAACTGGACATACCAGATCCTGATAACCGGTAAACCAGATACTACTTCAGTTACTGAAGTTAAGTTTTTGTTTCCAAGAATACAGAGAAACTATGAATTTCACCGTCTTGTTTAGAATCCTCGGAACATGTTAACACTGCCTTCACATACTCCCTCCCTAGTGTTGAGGTTCACTGAAAAGAAGGGAAACTTCTGAAAATAGTCTCGACTGACCTACAGGAAGTAAGCTTGCTTTCTCTACCAGCAAAAACAACTTAGCTTCTCTTGGCTGAATCAAAATTTTATTCCTTTTCGTTTTAAACTATAATCTACACAGTTTCCTTTTCTTTTAACAACATATGCAGCATCCAGGCAGCAACGGTTTCCACCGCTCTAGAGCTCGTTTCTCCCTTAGACTTACTCGTAGATGTCCTCCTTATCGGCGATGTACTGTACAATGTCGGCCGGTTTGAATAACTTCTCTGCGTCACCATCGGGGATCTCGAAACCGAACTCATCCTCCATGGCCATTATCACTTCCACATGATCCAGCGAATCCAGGCCAAGATCGTTGATGAAATGCGACTCCAGGGTCAGCTACAAAGCAGGAGAAATCGATTAACTTTGACGACACTTAGCACAAGCATACTGTCTCAATAATGCACAGCCGATCACGTAGTTGGCAACAGGAGTCGCTGAAGCTGAAATTCCCTGTACTATGCGATAGCAAATTGTACACTAAATCTATCATTCACTAAAAATAACCAATTTTCGAACGCCTAACAGCAGACTCCCCTGCGGTTGTGCCATCATCAATCCTCGCTCAGAAACGTACCTTCTCCGGGTTGACTTTATCGTACAGCTTGAGTACTAGCAGCACTCGTTCTTTGATCAACTGCAGCGTTAGGGGTTCCTTGGCACTATAGCTTCTAGTGCACTCCAGTTGCCAACGACCGATTTGCTGCTTACACACGCATCAGGGAGACAAAAAGAAAAAAAAAACAATAACATTAGCGCACCTTATCGGCCGTAACTTTATCGTAGGCAGCGACAACTTTCAGCACCCGCTCCCGGATTTCGGGAAGCTTTGGCTTCGAGCAGTAGTATCGAATGGTACCCAAACCTTCCAGATGCTGGAATTAATCCATCAGGGAATTAATTTTAGACCAATCAATTATTACATAAATACGTCTCGGGAGCAGACACGGTTCCTAACCTCAAAGTTTGACAGAAGTTGCTGGGGCTGAACCAGAATCCTCTGATTACAACTTCTCTGCTGCAAAGCCGCTGCCGACGAAGACGAGATGGTGCGGATGGCGAGTGATCGAAGCAGTGGAGTATTTCTGCACGCTAAGCTGCGGACGCTATTCACTAAAGATGCCATTCTTGGACTACCGTTGACCGACGGGATTCACGGACGTATGCACCACGGAATTGCACTCCGGATTTACGGGTTACACAAACGCGAAAGAGAAAAGTTCGTGACTCGAAGAAAATATTCCTCCTGAAAGTGCGGATCGAACTGATCTAGATAAGTTATATAATGTTTGAATCATTCATTTGACAGCCGGAGGCAATGGTGCCAAGATTCTCCAGAAGGAAACACGATGACAGCAGTTGGCTGCGTTCTGCGCGGGACAATGGGGTTTCAATGCTCTACACTCTTAGCTACGATTACCTAAAATTATCGGTATTTTTGACCGATAAAAATCGTTACTTTTTACTTTAATAGGCTATTTTTTACTATAAATTAGGTAATTTTCAACGTTAATTATTGGTAATCCACGATTACCGATAATTTAGTTATGTGCACTTTCTTAGACTATTTGTAATTTTTACCTATAGCTAGGCATTCTTTACCAACTTTAAGGTATGAGCATCTTAGCGTGAAGGGAGAAGGGAGAAAGCATAGAGGTAACTCTAAGACCACTGGGTCCCGAAGAAAATCATTATTATTTTTGGCTCACTCAGTACCAGAACAACGGTCCCAAGCAGTCCCAAGCTATTTCACTCACCCCTGCATGTTCTGCATGAATCCACACACCCCTGATGTTATCTGTCAAACTTTCATAGCGAATCAAAACAAACATAGTGTAGTAATAGAATTTCGACTAGAATAGGGTACGTTAATCGTTTGCTTGGGACCAATAGGTTACTAAAGTGGTGAGCCAATTTAAAATCGTTAGTTTCGTATTGATTGTTGGAGAAAGTATGGACCAACAGGTCTGTGCCATAAAAAGGGAAGTATTACCAACAATCAATACGAAACTAACGATTTTAAATTGGCTCACTACTTGACATGCCTATTGGTCCCAAGCAAACGATTAACGTATCCCATTCTAGTCGAAATTCTAGTACTACAGAATGTTTGTTTTGATTCGCTATGAAAGTTTGACAGATAAAATGAGGGGTTAGTGGATTTTCCTATGTTTCGAGTGGTGAATCGATTAGCTTGGGACCGAAGATAGTACCAGAGCTGAGCCAAAAAGTTGAGCACGTTTCTTCGGGACCTTCTAGTCTTAGAGTTACCTCTATGGTTATATCACCGACAAACCGACAAAACAATAAAGTTTCTAACCAAAGCACACTACTGACATCTGGCTCCGAGTTCGCAGGAAATATTTAGCTGAGCCATGAACCCGCATGCAAAAGTTATGAATTGGTTTCATAGCGAATCAAAACAAACATTGCGTAGTACTAGAATTTCGACTAGAATGGGATACGTTAATCGTTTGCTTGGGACCAAGAGGCTAGTCAAGTAGTGAGCCAATTTAAAATCGTTAGTTTCGTATTGATTGTTGATATAACGTTGTACGATGTACATCGATTTTGCGAACAAAACTACATCCATTGATGTAATATTGTATCTGCTTTTTGCTATTACATCATTATTTCATACATCAGCTTGAATTACATTGATCGATATTACATTTTTTTTTGCTGTGTATAGATTCCATAGATAAGCGGAGGCAAGGGTTGATGCATATATTATGTCACTCTCTAAGGGGGGAGGGGGTCTAAGATTTTGTAACAAGCAATGCATTAGGCACAGACAAACAGACATAACACTCGAAAGTTGTTCATCGAACAAGCATTTAACGGACAATTTAAAAGTATCGTAGTTGGTAGTACCGCCACCTGTGGCGCGCATAGTCAATTCCCTTGCGTTTGACGTTTACACACTACCGTCATCTGTTCAGCGTACTACCCACCACAGTGTACTCAACAGATGGCGGTAATGTTTTAACAACGATGTTTTACAATGAGAAATATTCAATGTGTTATGTCTGTTTGTCTGTGCATTAGGTATAGGAAAAACGTCACGATATGGGGGGAGGGGGTAGTTTTTTGCTCGATTTAGCGTGACATTATTAATGCATAGGTCCCAAATGTAGCCAAACGAACTGTCCCGTAGTGTAGCCAAACGAGCATGACGTCATCACGGTGTTGTTTCAGGGAGAAAGTATTGTAATATTATGAGCACACAACGCTTTCCACATTCCACATTCCGATTTATTTCGTGGACAACGGAAGAAGGAAAGATAAAGCAAACCATTCCTCGATACATTGTTGCAAAGATTTGCTTTGCACTTCATTATGAACTTTTACGCACGAAACAAAACAAAACTGCACAACGAAGAGCTCTATGATGGCATGAACTTTTTTCACGAATGCCAGAAAGATCATTTATTTTCCATGGTTGCCAAAACAACTTTTTGTGCCTCCGCTTATCTATGGAATCTATAGTATCTATATGTATTACTAGTCGGAGATAGTTTAAAATTTCTGGAGTAACATGTCAGAAGGGCCTATCTAGAATTTGACAGTTTTGAAAAAAATAAATTTCAAATTTTGGTATAAATTTTCAAATCCTATTTAAAACAGTAACATTATAGAAAACATTAAGGAACACTAAAAGAAGCACAAAAACGAAAGCTTTAAGTATAATGCATCATATCCGTCGAAAATCCACTACCAACATGTAAAAAATGCGAAAATGTGAAAATAAACCGTAATAGTCCCTTTATACTCGTTACCCTGAGTTAGACCCTTTCTGTTAGCACGTATTTTGTCTTTAATTTTAGTTAGAACCTTTTAGTTGAATCTTTATTTACATGGCATTTTGATTAGATCTTTTTTGACTAGCTGCAGATTATTTGGAATTCTTTATTTATTGTGATAAAACCGGTGGGTTGGATATTAATTGGCCGATACGGCCGACGATTTAGTCATCTACGTATCCAACTGACACCCTTAAATGGACGTACAGGCTATGGACCGCCTCTATCGTATTGTTCAGAAAAAGCAGTTTCATCAACAAAAATACCGTTGAAAAGATTGTAGAACGGGCAGAAAAATAGAAATCAAGATTGTTATTATAAGCTATAGCTTTGTAGAATACAACACCTACGTGGCGATCAATGAAGAAAGCGGAAAGTTAGACTGATAATGTTGTCCGTTATAAGACTACGGACTACACTAATAAGAGTTAGATTTGTAACGTTCAACATATTTTATTTAATAAATTGTATTTGTATTAATATATGTGGATAACGATTGATGACAATGCTGAACAATAATTGTAGAACGGTTGTTTGGGTTTGCTGGGTTGATGGGTTTTTGCTGGGAAATCAGTGAGTGATTTGTACTACATAGGCCACTCGTTGTCGACTGCCTCTAAATATTCCACTGGCCAGTCGTCAGTGTTTGGATCCAAATCAGCATCGAAGTGGTCTTTTTCAATCAGTTTTCTTTTTCTGTCTCGTTTTGGTGCCACGAGATTTTTAAGTAGCGTGTCATAATACTGCTTGTTTTGAATGAATGGCATCAACTTTTTAAGATCATCCAGCTTCTCCTTGGGTAATGGAATCGGTTCTTTTTCTATTGGCAAAAGCTGAGGGAGAGGCATATCTGTGTCTTGAAATACTTTCTCATCGCCCAAAGTGAAACTAGAGAAGTCTTGTTCCTTAATATTCGTTTTATAAAATACAACGCCAGGAGAGGTAGTGCGGTATTCAAACTGCATGATTTGTTTGAATTTGATTAGGTGTCCTGACGAGTTATGCTTTGGGCGTTTATATCTGGCTTCAAGTGATTTTAAAGCGAAAAAATCGCTTTGCTCTAATTCCGTTACATTGAACGCGGCGTTTCAATATCCATCGTGTTCTGCTTCTTGGCCCGCTCAATGGCAGCGTGTACAGAGTCCACCTCCATATGGCTATGGCCACTGACCATAAAGTTATGCTGAATGGTCATTTCTCGGTTTGCTCTTTTGCACTCCTCAATGAAAAGGCTCATTGTCATGCACATTGTAATATTATGATTTTGTCCACCGCACCTATCTGAATAAAGTTTGACAACACGAACTTTAGAGTAAGAATCTCCATTTAGTAGAGACCGAAGGTTGTGTAGGATACACGACCCAATTTCTTGTGATCCCCGGCGAGCCTTTGATTCATCCCACAGGAAGCATCGAGCGGAGTTTCGTCCCTGGCAAGTTTCGAAAATGGTGAGATTGAGAGTGTATAGTTGCCGGCTGTAAAATGCTTGCCCGCACAAAAGATGGGGTGTTGGCAGGCATTTTTGTAAATCGAACGATGCGGTATATACCGTATGATCGACCTTAGCATCTTGTATATCCCTTTTTTTCGCTGCGTATACATACTGCGCCAGTTCTTGATGCTCTCGCTGGATGGCTTGGATTTTTTCAAGTTCCGCCGTGTTAGCATGTTGTTTTATTTGTATATTCAGTCTATCACACTCGCAGCACGTATCCGTTTTAGGCTTGCGGAAGCTCATATTAAACTGTTTAAATATGAGCCGAAAGCTATTATAGTGGACTGGATTTAAGCTGTCTTTTGTACATTTTGATTTGTACATTTCATACATCTTTGCAACGTTCAGGTCACTTGACAAATACAACTTTGATGACTTTTTCCTGCTGTAGTGGGACGTATAGGCTGGATATGATAGAATATGATCCTCGATGTATTGTTTTGCTTCGATGCTGATTGGATTTCTATTACTATTATCACCTCGCTTATCGTCGGCACTGACTCCCAAGCCGTTCAATTTCTTCACGGTTAAGCATCTCATTTTTTTGGATGTAACATCCAACGTGGCCAAAAACATCGACTTGCACACTCGTGCCATCCCACCAACTCCTGGAAGAAAATATCTTACAGTGTATTCTCTTTTCGAATTGACAACCTAAAATAAAATGCAGAATAAAATTTAAAGCATACAAATATAAATATGTTTTTAGCTCACCGTATGAGTGTTCACATGCGATACAGCGATATGGCAACTCAAAAACTGATTTTGCGCAGAAAACGAAAGCTTCAAAAAATTATTCAAAATCTTTTTACGTATATCGTCGTGATATTGTTCGTCACAGCGAAGCTTTGAGCAGGCACATGCTTGCTTAACGCTGCGTGCTGCAACCTTGGCACCATTGTATCGGCTGTATTCCAGTCCTTTCTCTTTTAAATTTCTATTTTTCGTTCGTTTCCGAAGAGCATTAAGCTTGACTATGACGTTCT